CTGCTGCTGCTGCTGCTGCTGCCGCTGCTGCGGTGGCCGCCGCAGAAGCTCGGACGAGCGTGGGGAAGCAGCGGTGGTCGGCTATCAGGTGCAGGCAGCATGCATCAGCAAGCACCTGCGTGCCCCTGTGCATTGGAAAATTTTCTTTCCAGGGTCCATCTCTCGACAGAGCATTTGCGGCTTGGTGCAACTTTCGGCATGCCAGAGCCGCACGACGGCCGGCGGCAGCTCGGTGCTGATTCTGGACACTGGCCGTATGTCGGGTGCCATCATGCTTCACATTGCAACAGGCGAGTCCCTGCCACCACTATACGTGCAAGTCAGCAGAGGAGCACGACACCTCGGACCTAGTCCGCATCAAGCCTTTACTAAGCCTGCCTCCTTTGAGACATATGCTGGTTCGGCGTACCTCCTCCGTTGGATGCAGACGTCCCCGCGAGCTTTCCGAGAGTGGGAATACGTTGCATCACAAGCTCGAAGCAAGGCGATCTGATGCAGCTCAAACGGGCATGTAGTTGCAGGAAGGTGAGAGGCACACACGCTGCGCCACAAGCTCGGAGGCAAGGTTTCTGATGCAGCTCAAATGAAGTCCGTACAGCTGAATGACCAGCTTCAGGACGTCTTCATGCCACTTCGAGTTCTCTATGCTGCCGGGGTCAAGGAGGGACACAGTGCAATCCCAGCTGTGCAGATGGCATGATCAACGCAGTCAAGCCAAGCATTGGGGCCTAGTGGGCTGGATGAAGCTGCAGCAGCATCTGTTGTGGAGAGGTTTGGAAGCAGCTTGCCGGCAGCACAGGCAGTCTTCGCGAGAAGCTTGTGGCGGCTGATTCCTGTGTCTTGGTTGTGGCAGTGCTCTCGGAGCAGTGTCCTCCCTTTGTGACGGCGTGCTGCGGTGCTCCTTGGCAGAGGTGCGGAGGCTGTTGCGCCAGTTGAAGCCGGCGTGGGCGGAGACTTCCATCACACGGTGCAGCTCGGCTACGGCAGCCGCGTGCAGCTGCAGCGGGCGTCGCCTGCAGCCGTGCCTGTTTTGGGATCTGACGTAAGGGCTTGCCGCTGCTGCTGCGGCTGGCACAGGAGCTCGGACGAGCGTGGGCAAGTGGCCGCTTCAGGTGCAGGTAGCGTGCTCTTGCCAGTGCATCTGCGGCATTTGCACACACTACGTTGTTGCTTCCAGTGGAGGCTTTATCTAAACCCAGCAGGTGTGCAGCAGTGTGCAGTGTGCCAGCGCTCGACGGCCGACAGCTCAGCACTGATTCTGGAGTCTCAGAATTATCAGACGTGTGCGTAGTACAAGAGGCTTTTGGTACTTGGCAGGGTTTACGGTCTCTGAGCCGCTGGCATTGGTGTTTGCCGAGCACGGTAGTGGTTTTTTCGTTGCAGAAGTGGCATGTCAATTTCAAGTCCGATAGGGCTCACGCGGGCAGTCGCTGCTGGCAGCATGCAGCCGCTACCCATCTAAGAAGTGCATCTTTTCCGACCATGGTGAAGCCAAAGAAGCTTGCCGCTCTTGACGACGGGGTGCGTCTGGGAGAAGCTCACAGTGGCAGCTGCTTTGCCACTTGGCTCGTCAACCTCACCGCAAGCGGGTGGATGTTCGCGGAGATGAGCTTCTTCTGCTGCACACGGGCCCCAGCCGCCATAGCTTACTATTCATGGCAGTGCTGGTGCATGCGATGTTCTTGTCGCACTCAGACAGCCTGCTTGCCCAAGGCGAGGTCTAGCTCTGTCCGATTCAAGAGCATCGTGGGCTCTCGGATGTGTGCTGCAGTCTGCCGAAAAGCGCAGCACCAGCTGCGCAGTGCACATGTCACCTGGGAGCGGGGCTCGAAGCTCACGAGTTGCGCAGCACAGCTGCAGCAGCAAGTTTACGGCACGGCGCTGCCTTGATGACTTACCCATGAGTTCGGATCCGGTCACGCTGAGCACATCGCTATCGCTGGCGGGTGCGGGTACCCAGCATGCACGCGCCTCTGCTCTTCAGCGCGAGGCCAGACTTCAGAGCTCGGCAGGGCGTCGTGATGCGTCGTGTGACATGCTTCATATTCCCCAAGAATGAACATGCGAGCTGACGAGTCGTCGTCGGCGTCTCGGCCCCTGACGTCCATAGCCCTCCTCCTACACTCGTGCTCGTGGCAGGTCTGGGCTTGGCAACAGAATTACTTTTGACCGTGGCTCGCGTGCCATGACCAATGGCTTTGCAAGATCTCTCGTGCAACAAACAGGCCTTCGACGAGGGGATGCTCGAGGGGCAGCTGAGTGATGCCCGTGTCAAGTTGCAGACCCCGGAACGCCGCTTGCATCTGCAGCAGATCTGGAATCGGGCGCCAGGACAGATGCACGCTCCCTCGTCAGGTCCATCTGCGTCGTGGTCAGCGCTGCTCGGTGGGCTCCGTGGAGTTAGGGCAGGATTCAGTGTCTTTCGGGAAGTTGCAGTCTTCGTGATGCCTACGTTGCCTACATCGGAGTTGTGGCAGTGTGTGTGGAGCGGTGTCCTCCCTTTGTGACTGCGTGCTGCGGTGCTCCTGGGCAGAGGTGCGGATGTTGCGCCAGTTGAAGCCGGCGTGGGCGGAGACTTCCATCACACGGTGCAGCTCGGCTACGGCAGCCGCGTGCAGCTGCAGCGGGCGTCGCCTGCAGCCGTGCCTGTTCTGGGACCTGACGTTGCAAAGCAGGCGCAGCTCCGTGCGATGGGGAAGGGCTTGCCGCTGCTGCTGCGGCTGGCACAGGAGCCCGGACGAGCGTGGGGAAGTGACCGCTGCCGGCTATCAGGTGCAGGCAGCGTGCTCTTGCCGGTGCATCTGTGCATCTTAAGGCTTTGCTTCCGCCGCGCCCGTCTCGGCAGAGCAGGTGCGGCTTAGTGCAACTTCCAGCATGCCAGAGCCGCTCGACGGCCGGCGGCAACTGGGCCTGATCCTGGACACTGGCCGTATGTCGGGTGCCGTGATGCTTCACATTGCAACAGGCGAGTCCCTGCCACCACTCTACGCGGGAGTTAGCAGAGGAGCCCGACACCTCCGACCTAGTCCTCATCAAGCCTTTACGAAGCCTGCCTCCTTTGAGACCAGCATGTACATGCTGGTTCGGATTACCTCTCCTCTGTTGGATTGCATCTTGCAGAGAGTGGGAAAACGTTGCATCACAAGGTCGAGGCAAGGCGATCTGATGCAGCTCAAATGGGCATGTAGTTGCAGGATGGTGAGAGGCGCACACGTTGCGCCACAAGCTCGGAGGCAAGGTGACGTTCTGATTGCTCAAATGAAGTCCGTGCAGCTGAATGACCAGCTTCAGGATGTCTTGATACCACTTCGAGTACGCCTTTCGCTATGCTGCCGGTGTCAAGGAGGGATAGGACCCAGTGCAATCCCAGCTGGCCAACGCAGTCAAGCCAAGCATTGGGGGTTAGGTTAGCTCAGTGGGCTGGATGAAGCTGCAGCAGCATCTGTTGTGGAGAGGTGTGCCAGCAGCTTGCCGGCAGCACAGGCAGTCCTTGCGAGAAGCTTGTGGCGGCTGATTCCTGTGTCTTGGTTGTGGCAGTGCTCTCGGAGCAGTGTCCTCCCTGTGTGACTGCGTGCTGCGGTGCTCCTTGGCAGAGGTGCGGAGGCTGTTGCGCCAGGTGAAGCCGGCGTGGGCGGAGACTTCCATCACACGGTGCAGCTCGGCTACGGCAGCCGCGTGCAGCTGCAGCGGGCGTCGCCTGCAGCCGTGCCTGTTCTGGGACCTGACGTTGCAAAGCAGGCGCAGCTCCGTGCGATGGGGAAGGGCTTGCCGCTGCTGCTGCGGCTGGCACAGGAGCCCGGACGAGCGTGGGGAAGTGGCCGCTGCCGGCTATCAGGTGCAGGCAGCGTGCTCTTGCCGGTGCATCTGTGCATCTTAAGGCTTTGCTTCCGCCGCGCCCGTCTCGGCAGAGCAGGTGCGGCTTAGTGCAACTTCCAGCATGCCAGAGCCGCTCGACGGCCGGCGGCAACTGGGCCTGATCCTGGACACTGGCCGTATGTCGGGTGCCGTGATGCTTCACATTGCAACAGGCGAGTCCCTGCCACCACTCTACGCGGGAGTTAGCAGAGGAGCCCGACACCTCGGACCTAGTCCTCATCAAGCCTTTACGAAGCCTGCCTCCTTTGAGACCAGCATGTACATGCTGGTTCGGATTACCTCTCCTCTGTTGGATTGCATCTTGCAGAGAGTGGGAAAACGTTGCATCACAAGGTCGAGGCAAGGCGATCTGATGCAGCTCAAATGGGCATGTAGTTGCAGGATGGTGAGAGGCGCACACGTTGCGCCACAAGCTCGGAGGCAAGGTGACGTTCTGATTGCTCAAATGAAGTCCGTGCAGCTGAATGACCAGCTTCAGGATGTCTTGATACCACTTCGAGTACGCCTTTCGCTATGCTGCCGGTGTCAAGGAGGGATAGGACCCAGTGCAATCCCAGCTGGCCAACGCAGTCAAGCCAAGCATTGGGGGTTAGGTTAGCTCAGTGGGCTGGATGAAGCTGCAGCAGCATCTGTTGTGGAGAGGTGTGCCAGCAGCTTGCCGGCAGCACAGGCAGTCTTCGCGAGAAGCTTGTGGCGGCTGATTCCTGTGTCTTGGTTGTGGCAGTGCTCTCGGAGCAGTGTCCTCCCTTTGTGACTGCGTGCTTCGGTGCTCTTTGGCAGAGGTGCGGAGGCTGTTGCGCCAGGTGAATCCGGCGTGGGCGGAGACTTCCATCACACGGTGCAGCTCGGTTACGGCAGCCGCGTGCAGCTGCAGCGGGCGTCGCCTGCAGCCGTGCCTGTTCTGGGACCTGACGTTGCAAAGCAGGCGCAGCTCCGTGCGATGGGGAAGGGCTTGCCGCTGCTGCTGCGGCTGGCACAGGAGCCCGGACGAGCGTGGGGAAGTGACCGCTGCCGGCTATCAGGTGCAGGCAGCGTGCTCTTGCCGGTGCATCTGTGCATCTTAAGGCTTTGCTTCCGCCGCGCCCGTCTCGGCAGAGCAGGTGCGGCTTAGTGCAACTTCCAGCATGCCAGAGCCGCTCGACGGCCGGCGGCAACTGGGCCTGATCCTGGACACTGGCCGTATGTCGGGTGCCGTGATGCTTCACATTGCAACAGGCGAGTCCCTGCCACCACTCTACGCGGGAGTTAGCAGAGGAGCCCGACACCTCGGACCTAGTCCTCATCAAGCCTTTACGAAGCCTGCCTCCTTTGAGACCAGCATGTACATGCTGGTTCGGATTACCTCTGTTGGATTGCATCTTGCAGAGAGTGGGAAAACGTTGCATCACAAGGTCGAGGCAAGGCGATCTGATGCAGCTCAAATGGGCATGTAGTTGCAGGATGGTGAGAGGCGCACACGTTGCGCCACAAGCTCGGAGGCAAGGTGACGTTCTGATTGCTCAAATGAAGTCCGTGCAGCTGAATGACCAGCTTCAGGATGTCTTGATACCACTTCGAGTACGCCTTTCGCTATGCTGCCGGTGTCAAGGAGGGATAGGACCCAGTGCAATCCCAGCTGGCCAACGCAGTCAAGCCAAGCTTTGGGGGTTAGGTTAGCTCAGTGGGCTGGATGAAGCTGCAGCAGCATCTGTTGTGGAGAGGTGTGCCAGCAGCTTGCCGGCAGCACAGGCAGTCTTTGCGAGAAGCTTGTGGCGGCTGATTCCTGTGTCTTGGTTGTGGCAGTGCTCTCGGAGCAGTGTCCTCCCTTTGTGACTGCGTGCTGCGGTGCTCCTTGGCAGAGGTGCGGAGGCTGTTGCGCCAGGTGAAGCTGGCGTGGGCGGAGACTTCCATCACACGGTGCAGCTCGGTTACGGCAGCCGCGTGCAGCTGCAGCGGGCGTCGCCTGCAGCCGTGCCTGTTCTGGGACCTGACGTGGTCGTGGCAGGTCTGGGCTTGGCAACAGAATTACTTTTGACCGTGGCTCGCGTGCCATGATAGCATGGGCCGATGGCTTTGCAAGATCTCTCGGGCAAAAAGCAGACTGCAATGTTTCGAGACGAGGGGATATTCGAGGGGATGGTCGGGCAGCTGGGTGACGCCCGTGCCAAATTGCAGACCCCGGAATGCCGCCCGCATCTGCGACAGACGCGCGCTCCCTCGTCGGGTCCATCTGCGTTGTGGTCAGCGCTGCTCGGTGGGCTCCGTGGAGTTAGGGCAGGATTCAGCGTTTGTCGGGAAGCTGCAGTCCTCGTGATGCCTGCATTGCCTACATCGGAGTTGTGGCTGTGCGTTTGGAGCGGTGTTCTCCCTTTGTGGTCATTGGCCGCCACAGACCTTGCAGTTGCCCGGTGTGGGCTTAGCGAGGTTCCCAGAGCCGATAAACCCAGATGTTCCTCCCGTCGGGTTGACGGATTTCCCAGCTTGTACGTGCGCTGCGGAACTTCGACGGGTTCGACTAATCGGCTGAACGGCCTGCGCAGACCAGACAGCAGAGCCGGTGAATCAGGTGCTGCGGCGGTGTCTTGCGCGTTCTAGCTGTCAACGACGGCATGTGAGCACACTTGTTGCCACGCAGAAGTGCAGACGCTGGGTTTGTAAGAGCATGCACCTAAATGGCGGATGGCCTTTGCAAACATCAGCATGTGCTGGCAGCCAGCGAAGGTTTCCACTGGCGGGCCTTCCCCATCCCCGTCAAGCGCCGATTTCCCAACAGAGTTGTTAAAGTACGGGGCACCATGACCATTGCCAGGCGGGGGACATAGTACAGCTAGAGCACAGAACTATGTGCTGCGGCGGTATCTTGCGCGTTCTAGCTGTCAATGACGGCATGTGAGCATCACGCGCACTTGTTGCCACAGGGCCTTTGCCGGTCTCTTGCGGAAGCGCAGACGCTGGGTTTGCAAGAGCATGCACCTAAATGGCAGGTGGCCTTTTCAAATTTCAGCATGTGCTGGCAGACAGCGAAGGTTTCCACTGGCGTGCCTACCCCATCCCCGTCAAGCGCCGCTTTCCCAACAGAGTCATTAAAGTACGGGGCACCATTAAGGACCATTGCCAGGCGACCACAGGGGGACATAGTGCAGCTGGGGCGCGGAACTGGGTGCTGCGGCGGCATCTAGCTGTCAATGATGGCATGTGAGCATCATGTGCACTTCTTACCACGGGGCCTCTGCTGGGTTTGCAGGAGTTTGAGGCTGCCGTGCACCTGCTCCGGATCAAGCGAGGTCCTGCCGCTTCGTGCGTGCTGTACCTGGTCAAATGGTAGGTGTTTACAAGTCTCAGCATGTGGCGGTACACAGCCCTGCCCCCGTCAACCGCCGATTTCCCAACTGAGTCAGAGGAAACACTCGGCTTTCGACGCTCTGCAGACTGTGCACATGGCTGGCTGCACACCAAGCGGATGTAAGGAGCAAGTGTGCATGTAGTTTGTCGCCTTGTGGCGTGCCCTGCACTGGTGGCACGGTGTGCTTGCCTTGCCGTGGGCTGCGATCTTCTCCAAGGAATGTGCGTTGTGTAACATGCAAGAAGTCGCTAGATCCTGAAGAAGCCGGCAAACTCATCTTTGCCGGGAGAGCCCGTATGAAAGAGGGTCCAACATCTCATATACCCTGCATTCTGGGTATCGGGTTCGCACGATCTGATGCTCGTGGAACACGCATGTCTGCCAAACCTTGCAGCACTGTAGCCACGGCAAACCGGTACCGCTCGTTTGCCGCTGCATCTGCCACTGCCTCTTGCTGTCTTAGGCCATCGCCTGCCCAAGAGGACTCGTCCATCGTCCCGCAGGTGGAAGCACCGCGACAACTGCACGCTGCTCGCAGGTCATCCATCGGGCTGGTAATTGCGGTGATCCAAGATGACAAGATGAGTCTGTCCCCTAATCGCGGTGGTATGGCTTGCTTGCCTTGCCGGGGGCTGCAGGGCACTGGATGTGCCGACCCTGTGGCCGGTGTCCCTCATAGAGCACACCATGCCTTACAGCTTCTGCTTCTTCGCACTTGCGTCACTTGAAGTTGGTCTTACATTGTCTTACATGTCTTGCCGCCTTGTGCCAGTGGCTCGGCTGCAGGAGGCCCTCCACTTTGGTCGCACATCCCCTCAGGTGTAACGGTTCCTTCTGTGTGCTCGTTGAGACACGTGGGCCTTAAAACACAGCAGCGTCAGCAAGCTACTATCACCTGTTGCGAGAAGCTCAGCATGCTTCTGCCACTGCATCTTGCGGTCTTAGGCCATCGCCTCCCCAGAAGGACCCGGCAAGCGCTGCAGGCGTTTGCCGGGAGAGCCGGCGTGGAAGCGCGCCGTCGCAGGCGGCAGCTCCGCAGATGCTTGACAGATGCTTGTAGCAGGTCTGTGTGGGTATGCCCTGGGCGATGGTGCATGGCAGAGGCGACTGCCGACCGCGCCTGGCTGCGAGGTGCTTCTGGAGCAAAGCACTTTGCCCGGCCTGCCTCCTCCAAGATGACAAGATGAGTCCGTCTTCCAGTCTTCCAGTCGCGGTGGTATGACTTGCTTGCCTTGCCGGACTTGCCGGACTTGCCGGACTTGCCGGACTTGCCGGACTTGCCGGACTTGCCGGACTTGCCGGACTTGCCGGGGGCTGCAGTGCCCGACCCTGCGGCCGGTCTTTTGCAGGCTCGGCTGCAGGAGGCCCTCCACTTTGGCTTGCACGGGTCCTCAAGTGCAATGATTCCTTTTGTGTGACTGTTGAGACATGCTGGCCTTGTGGATCCTTGCAGCACTGCAGCTGCAGCAAGCCGCAGCATGCTTCTACCATTGCGTCTGCCACTGCGTCTTGCTGTCTTGGGCCATCGCCTTTCCAACGAGGGTTCAGGGGGTTCAAGGGGAGGGTTTAGGTCAGACTTGAGGCCTTTTTTGAGGGTCGTCAAGGTGTGGAGAAGATGCATATGTCGGCCCCGTATCCTCTGCAAGCTGCAAAATTCTCTGCGCCGAGCAACCTGTTCCTTATGGACGCGCCGTGCACGTGGCTGGATTCAAGATGGCCTCCAGGTTTGCGAAGCACTTTGGAGCCACAAGGCTAAGTAGGACGCTGTGATTTGGCCGTGCAGCATTGTGTTTGGGCATGTTCACAAGCAATGTCAGCCCTAAACCCTTAACCCAATGAGGTTTTAGGGTTGTTTGGTAGATTCTTTCGGCTGGTGATGCCTGATTGGAAGGCTAAGATCATCAGCATATTGGAACCGAACTGCCCGGCAGCAGCACCATAGCCTGCGCAGTCCTGGCAGGTGTGCCGCAATACCCGCCCGTACGGTGGACGGTTCAGAAACAATGACTGGAAGTGACACGAGGCGGACTCTTTGCTCGCATTGATGTTCTACCTGTCACTTGTTGTCATGTGAGACTGGCGCCCATGTACGCTGAGCAGCCGGCTCTGCATTCTGGGTGTCGGGTTCGCACGATCTGAACGTGGCACCGCAACATGCATGCCCGTACACTGGAGAGTCATCGAGCCCCAGCGAAACGATGGCCAAGGGGCCTTGCAGCGTTGTAGCACGGAAAGCCGCCATCACAAACGGAGACCCTCGCAAGTTTCAGCATGTGCTTGTAAATGCTGCTGTGGGTGTGTGTACAGCCAGTGCAGGCGAGCGCCGCTGACACGACAGTCACTGAAGCCAATCCGATCATGAGCCAAACTTTTCTGCTTCGGAAGGGCAATCCACCAAGGGTGGATTGCTGGCTGAGGGCACACAGAGACACTGCGAAAGTTGTTGCGTTCACCACCGCTCCTACAAATGAAGGGTTCCTTCGAATCAAGTTTTTGGGCTCCAGTTCCTGGCGTACGAGCACTTTGACACATCAACCCTTCGGGTGCAGGGCTTTTGCCCAAACGTGGTTGTTCCCTGCACCCTGTGCTCCCTGTACTTTGCCTATGCCTGCACCTGTTTGCCCTCGAGCTTCATTGATTCATTCATTAAGAGAAATACAAAGCGACAGCTTGGTGCCTGGCCTGAGAAGGCCACCTAAGTCCTACGATGTGCTGACGAGATGTCCAGGCTAAGGGATTTGCAGCCACTTGCGCCCGATGGCGCCGCATCATCTCACATCATGCACGCCCAACGTGTTGAGATGTGCTGAGATGTGCTGAGATGTGTTGAGACATGCGTGAAGGCAAAGCCATGTGGTGCCTGCCATGGTTCATGGACTTGCCTGGACCAGATGCGGATTGTCGGCGTGGAGGCGCTCTGTTCCTGACCGAACGTCGGGTGCTGTGGTGTGCCGTGAGTGCGACATGTGGAACCTCTGCAGAAGCGCGTCTGCACATTTGTGCCGAGTTGAGCCACACATATGTAGATTCGGGTATCCTGCACACGCCGTCGCTGATAGTAGATAGGAGGAGTCCGGTTCTGCCCACTCTTGGGACTCATAGGTGGAATCTGCGCCCGAGTTCCAAAGTTCTGTGCTGCTCCATGTTGCGCCTTTTCTCCTCTGTCATGGCGCATCAACGCCTGAATGCAACCCAGTTCGTGGCAAGGCTGGCGCATAGCTTGAAGGCCTTCCGGGAACTACAGCCGTGTGACCTGCCCCTGCTCTCGCGACAGATGGACGACCCCGCTCCAAGCACTGCCTAGAGCCCATAGCCGCCATAGCCCATCCCCACCCCGCCTCAATCTCACCCCCACGCGGCCGACGCGGCCACGGCCCACGGCCCACGGCCCACACGCTCTCGGCCTAGGCTGATGAGAGCCTGGCTCGGAGTCAGTGGGAACTCAGCCAGTCCCGCTTCAAACAGCCTGGCGGCTGGAAGTGTCAGTTGGTTGGGCACTGGCCTGACAGGGTTGTGCATGACAGCACGCTCGACAAACAGAGCCTTCCGGCTGTTGTTAGGTGCAGCCAGCAGCCAGCTTTTGCCGCCCCAGGTTCTGGCAGGGTACCGTGCAGAGGCAGAGCCCCGCTTGCGCTTGCAACTGCAGAGCTTCAGGGGTGGCAGACAAGTTTTGGAGATGTAGGGTGCAAATTGTTCTATCGGCATAATTCATCGCTGGATGCGCCACTGACATTGTCAACCTTACATTGCAAAGCAGACATCGTATGTCACATGGCCTTTCAGGGCCTACCCGCTCGGTGGCAAGTTTCCCGACAGGAGCTCCTTACACATCGGCTTCAAGCAATTCAAGCCGTGCAACCCTCTGAAGCCGTCCCGGGACCGAAACAGGCCCTGCGGGCGTGCTGTCGATCTCGATCGCAGCAGGGCCATTTCTGCTGGGATGTGACCTGCCTGTGTGCAGCAGCCGGCGCTCGAAAGAAAAGAAGGGTTCAAGAAATAGGGCACGTGTTTAGGGTTGAACCTGTCATGAAGGACCGTTTGTGTAAGATCTTGTTAAGGGTGGAGTGGTTAAAAAGGGCTCGGCACATTGCACCGGTTCTGATGGCCCGAGTTGATTGAGTGATGTATCGGGAGGGGGTGGGGCCAAGCCGATTTTGTGAATGAGAGACATGTCTTAGAATTTGTGGGCGAAGCAGCTTGCATCGTAGCAAAGGGAATGATGTTGGGGGTTGGTGTGCGATCTACTTCCTTGTTGGTGCGATGCCGTGGACCTGGGGTCAGAAGAAAGCCCCCCTTCAGTCCTTTTCGGTGGTGTAGATTCTGTCCTGTGTGGATCTGTGCCGGCCGGCCGACGGGTTTCGCATGCATTCTTCTTCTGCTTCTTCTTCAGGCTCGGGATTTCTTCCGTCGGGCGAAGAAGGGCCCTCTTCTTCGGGCCGTGGGCCTCTAGACTTGCAGTTTTTGCAGGAGATTCAAGTTTTCAGGAACCCGTGTTTTTTTGCTGTGGTGTCTTTTTTTACAGTAGACGGATGAAGCCGGTATGTAAGGCAGTGAGCCCCCGTCCCCGCCCGCCACGACGGCAACAAAAATGAAATAACACGCCCCCAAGGTGCCCAAGCCACCACGGTAGGCCCCCCAGAAAGCCAGTGAGTGAACCCCCAGCTCCGCCGACGCCAAAAACACACGCGTCCCCCACCACATCAACAAAAAGTCACGCAGTTGCCACGCCAGCAAGAGCAACCCCTGCCACGACAGCAACTGGACGACGCACCCCCTCTGCCACGACAGCAATAAAGTGCACCCTCCAAGACAATGCCTTGCAAATAGTGCGCGCAGAACGTTGTGGATTCAAGCACTAGTTTGCGATGCTTTCGCAAACAGCATGCTTCGCCAACTCTGTCCGCAAAAACGGATGAGAGGACAGGTTGCTTTTTTTGTCCGCGATGCTTCTTGTTTGCGACGCCTGGCCAAAAATGCAAACTCTGTGTGCAACACGGCAGGGAGGACAAGCTGGAGGTTTTTCAAGCAACTTGTCCGCGATGCTTCTTGGTTGCGAAGTTTGCCCAAAACATGCCTTGGCAACTTGTCCGCGATGCTCTTGTTTGCAAACCTGGCCAAAACATGCCTTGCAAACTTTGTGCACAAAACAGCAGAGAGGAACCTCGGTGCACAAAACAGCAGGGTGGACGGGTTGTAGTTTTTTCAAGCAACTTGTCCGCGATGCTTCTTGTTTGCGAAGCCTGCCCAACGCATGCCTTGCAAGCTCTCTGCACAAAACAGCTGGGAGGACAGGTTGTAGTGTTCTTTCAAGCAGCTTGTCTGCGATGCTTTTTGTTTGCGAAACCTGGCCAAAACATGCCTTTCAAACTCTGTGTGCAAAACCGCAAGGAGGAAACTCCGTGCACGAAACAGCAGGGAGAACAGGTTCCCGCAAGTTTTCAAGCTACGAATAAGACCTCGCCAATATATTAATCACGAAACTCACGGTGGTCACGGTGCGTACGAAAGCAAGGAACATGCCACACTTAGAGTTTGATATTCTTGGGTCTCAGTTCTCTGAAACACTTGTTTGGCGATATGGGTTTGGTTGCATTTTGCAAAGTTGACTTGAAGCGTTCTGGTCGATTGCCTCGAGAAGCAGCGCCTGATGTCCAGATGAGCTTGTTTAAGGCGTGCCCAAGATATGACATGTCGATGTAGTAGGTGGTTTGCGAGGCCTGCAGGCAGTTGAAAGTTTCTCGAACGAGCTTTTGGCCTGGCTTTAGAAAGAAGGTTTGACAAGAACGCCGAAAATTGCCAAATGTAACAAGTGGCTCATGATTATGATTGAACATGTGGCAGTCCTCGTCAGAACTGAACTCAACTGTATGTGAAAGGTATCTCCCTGAACCAGTGAACTTTCTGCAAGGCAGACAGTACCGCGCATGTACAGGACACAACGTGACACAGCGCCCTTGACCGAACTGGTCTTGCCACTGTTCCGAGCCATGCGCCGCGGGACGTAGGTGGGGTGAGAAATGCGTGTGGATTGTTGGCACGTGATGCCGCGGCTGCATGGCATGGCTGCATAAAATTGCATGTTAACTTAAACCATCTTAAACCTTTTGCATAGCAATTCGCGGCAGGGCCAGATGGGGTGCAGGTAGATTGCTGCCACGTGTTGCTCTAGAATATTCAGCTGGGTTGCCGTGAGCCAGGCACCAATGAGACAACGACCACAGGCGGAAGTGGGAGCCAGTCTTCATGGTTCGTTTTGAGTGTTTCGGCTTGTAGTTCAATCAACATGTGGGGTCGATATAAGGTTTTCATTTAGGCTCCATGAAGTCGTGTGTCACAGTCCCGATTTGCGGCCGCAACCATGCTGAATCGATGCTCTAGACTGGGCATGCGGCTTGCTGCAACTCTTCCGGAACATTCCGGAACATGCCGGAACATGCATGGCACGTTCTGAGTTGCAACATTGCATCGTTGTACTCCTTGGCACACGTTTATGACAAGAGCCCACCATAGTCCACCACCAGCTAAATGCACGACGGCCTTTTCCCAGAACCCATCCCGCAGGCGTCCACAGCTGCAAAGGCCCTGGTGCGCCGCACTCACGTTAGGCCTGTTGGAGTTTCATGCTTTTAGGGTCGAGGGGGCGCAGAACATTTCGTGAGAAGTAGTTTCCTGCAGATTTGAAGATGCAGCCCTCAACAGACGTTCCCTCGCAAGGCTACCTGGTGACTCTTGAGCCTCCTCAACTTGTTTTGCTTTTTCCAGGCCCTCTTGTCGAGGGCTGCTAGTTGTGCAAAGGCTGTCAGATTGAAAGTAACGAGGTTGGATGGTCTATCTGGAGGTCGCAGGCACGCAGAAAACCTCGACACGGATTGACAGACATGGTTTTCGCCTGGGGCGCATCTAGTTGGGCGCTACACAGCCTGGCGCCCAACCAGGGAGTTAGGACAATGTAGTGGATTGGTAAGAACGTCAAAAATCCAAAATACATATAGAGTACGTCAGCAATGGCCGTCAGCGCCGTGCACGGACAGTTTGCGAGGTGAAGGAACTTCTTCTATGGCAGTCGCACGGCCTGAACTCTAAACCCAAAAGTTAAGGCGTTGGTACATCGGTACCTTGGTACCATGGATGTTATGAATTGTAAACGCTTGCGCGCGCCGCCTCGGCAGCCGGGCCGGCCCACGGACAGGAAAGAAGGAAAGAGGGTTTCTGGGCCGGGCCGGAAGTGGGGAGGGGGTTTTCGGGGTGGTGGGTTCGCGGGGGGGGGGGAACAGGGCGTGGTCCCAGGGTAGGGGTTTCAAGGGAGTTTCAAGGAGGGTCCTCAGAAAAATCCCGGAGGGCGGTGCCCGGGTTGGGGGGGTCGGCCAGAAAAGCAGGGAGGGAAGGGTTGGGTTAGGGGGAAGGAGGCCCGAGACGCTTCTCGGCAGGAAGCCGAGGCGAATTGAGGCTTGGCTGTGCATGCTCTGGAAAGTGAACATGCTGGTACCATGGATGTTTTTAAGGCTACGCATGCCCTGGGAAGTGAGCATACTGGTACCATGGATGTTACTATGGTTTCGAGCATCATGTCGAGAAAAATCACCTGGGCAAGCTGCAAGCACCTGCAACTACCAGATTTTTTACGTGCCTGCTTCCTATTTGGAGGGGGGTTGCGGACGCCGTCGCGTCCTCACAATTTCCCCTTCACGGTTTTTCTTCAAGAACTTGGCCCGCAACAACTGCCGTGGGTCCATCAGCTTGGAAGCTCGGCAACAGGATGCGGGCCGATCTTTGCAGAATGGGAAGCCCGCTGTGAAAGTAGACGTCCCGAAGGTCCCGAAATGTCCCGAAGCTCAGCTTTTGATGGACTTTGCCGAATCTGGAGCTCTGCTCATATGCTTCGGGAAGCTGCCCCGACCTTTCCTTGTCAGGTACAGTACCGGAGTGAGGCGCAGAACCAGTCCGGAGAGCTGAAGGCCGGTGATCTGACATTTTTTTGCAGCACAGACATCAGACAGATCTTGCAAAAGGCAGCAAATGAGCAGCATCTATGTACCGAGACGCCACGTGCTGTCTGCGTGTTGAACTCTGCCCTGGAGGCGCGGGCGAAGGCACAGCAGGACTCGACCATCATGTGCATCAACTTTGCGTCGTAGAGCCAGATCGTTGTCGGCCAAGAGTCTAGTCTAGCCACACCCGCGCATCTGCGTGTGAGAGTGCTAGAAATCTAGAAGTGGCCCAGACAATCCCGAAGCACAGCCCTGAAATCCCGAACATGAAAATCTCGCCTGAGCCACCGCAAGCCACGTTCGACTGAGGAGTACAATTAGTGTGATGAGTGTACCATGGACACTTTATCATGGACCATGAAGAAATGATGTGATCATTGATGAATCCCATCCGCTGTGCCCCCGGATCTTTCCTGCCAGGGGCCACCCGCGACGCCTGAGAGGACAACGTCCAGGCACTCCTGAGACAATGGGAATCAAATGATCCTGAATCCATCTGAGTCCCATGGCAATCTCAGATTGCTAGTCAGCTCGAGTATGTTGCAGGGCGTTTGGCGGTGTCACTTGGAATTTAGGGTTTCGGCATTGTTGTGGTTCACAAAAGAGACCATCAGCCGCCCGCCGTGGAACGCAGAATCTACTGACCAACACAAGAAGTCCCCTTTTCGGAGTGGTGTATGGGCAGAATTTTGAGGCCCACGTCGCCTTCTCCGAAACCAAAGGCAGCCAAGGCGCAAGTGACGCAAGTGCCACCAGTGTTCAGGGAAGCTGGGAATGATCGTGGCACCAGCGCTGCTGCCTTTGGCGAATCACGAGGGACTGGGCAACTTTTGCAGCCTGCCATTCCGCAGCCATTTTAAAGGAAGGCTTGCCAGAAGCACAGATGAAGCAGGCGGGACAGAGCCGTGAATGGATGTCCTTCAACTTTCAACCCTTAAGTCTGAGAGCATTGTGGGAATGCTGCATGTCCTCGAGAATCAAGAGAACACAAGTAACGCACATAATCGCACGACAGATAGTCCTCCCTTCTCCGCCCATAGCCGTGCTATGACACGCTGCGCCCAGGAGGTTGGCAGGAGGGGTGCGAGGGAGTCTTGGTTCTTTCGGTGTCTCTCTTGCTTCTGTGGTGTTGGACTGGATGAGGGCTCTTTAAGTGGCTTCGAGGAGGCTTGACCCCATTAGGGGCTCCTCCAAGAGCATACGTTGAACAAGTTGTCTGCGAGTCTGCAAAGGTGCATGACGAAGTCCGAAGCGGAGCAAGCGGAGCAAGCGGAGCAAGCGGAGCAAGCGGAGCTCAGTGCCGCACGCCCAAAGAGAGGCACGAGGAAGGTTAGGAAGCACGCCTCAGCTGAAAGAACTTTCAAGGGTCATACGTTATCATAATAAGGATCATCATTGTTGACCTCTCAAATACTGAAGTCTCTCCAAAGGAAGATGTCCCGCTGACAGGGTTTGAGTTCGGCACAGCAAAGTTTCATGTTTGGTAAACGCCTGGAGTGGAGAACCGATTCTGGAGGTGTCATGACTGTTCGTTGAATCGTTTGAGCACACGCTTGAACACTTCGGCCTCTGTTGGGCGGTTGTGCAACAGCGAAACGCCGCGACGCAAGAGAACCCACGCTGTGTCGGTCAATGTGTGCACCGTTTGTCGTCCCAATGTAGATGTAGACGCTGTGCTGTGCTCCCTGAAGAACATCTGCAAAAAGTCAGCTGAGGACATGGCATCTCCCATTCCGGAGTGCCACTCTGCGATGCTGATGGATGCTGCAGATGCTTGTGGTGCGGAGGAGAGCTGGCAAGACCTCTTACAAGTAGAGAACACAAATCGTAGGTTTCTGGACAGCTTTTGGGATGGGTTACCTGTTAGGCCTGGCTCTCTGGTGCTCCCTTTTTCCTCTTGGTAGGTCTGCCGACCGTCTGAAACCAAATGATTCCGTCTTACGCGAGCATTGTGTCCGCACCCCAACTTGCCGCTTTCCATTCGTGCAAACAATCTGAAATCTTGTGGGTCCTTTGTGTGCCGCTGTCTGTGCTGCGCGGGCTTGCTCTGGAAACCTCGCGCCATCAAGAGCTGGGTTTTGTAAAGCCTTACCTCTCTTCAGCTTCTATCTTGTAAGGTTTGAGTAAGAATGCGTGAAAAGTCCCCGTTCCTCGCGACAACGGGACCCCCATAAAACATTTAGTTCTTTTCACTGGTTTTCTTATTGAATCTGAAGAACCTCAGGCCATCACGAGCAGTAGTGTGAAATCCTTACAGAATCTCTTCAAAGCGCGCCGTTCGGACTTCGTGTATGCAAACGGGCCCCCCGGCTGTACCCCCGCAACCCCCTGGCCCTGTTTCAGCCATGCAGGCCAGAACCTCGTGCCATCAAGAGCAGTCGCTTGAAAACCCACCTGAATCCCACACGAATATTGCACATGCAGTTGGGTGGGGCTGTCCCCCCCTCCCTCGGCACGGTTTTGGGATATGTTGGGTTCAGATTGTTTTAAGTTGGATTTCGGGCACTTTGAAGCCGGCTAACATCCAGAAACATGATCTGCTTTGTTTTTTGACCTGCGGCGCCTAACAACAGTTAGAACACACAGGATGCCGAGCCCGAAGCCCTGAAGTATCACTTTGTTGGGATTTGGTAGCTGAGCCTCCCTTGCTGAGACTCCGCCCCCTTGGCAGGACAGGCGGAAGAGCGACCCGATGGAGCGAGGGCCTTGAGGGGATGTAGGGCCTAGGCCCAGAAACGAATATGTACGGGAGGGAGAAAAACTGAAGCTTGCGAGAAATGGAGGGCCAGTTGTGGTTCCGCGATCTGACAAGCTCATTCATGACCTCCCAGAAGTTTCTGCAAGCCGGGGCGAATGGGGTTCAGGGTTTCGGGGTTCAGGCAGAAACGGTTTGGGACCGTAGGGCTCTGAGGGGGTTCTAAATGTTTTGAGACTCAGAGCCTTGCTCCCATGAGAGCTTTTCCATGCTCTGGGGAAATCAGGGGACCTAGAAACAGGGCTGCCAGCAAGACATGACTTGCCAGCTGGCAAGTCATCGGAATGAAGTCCCTCGGTGCTTCCACAAAGGTACAAGGTAGTTTCTTTTTTTCAAGTTGTCCCGGGTTCGCGCACAACTGATGGAAGGCTTGGTGCAAGGTGCAGTACCCCTCAGAAAGAGCCTTCCGGTTAGGAGCCAGAGCCCAGGAGTCGGGAAAGGATCACATGCTGGGCAGACGCCACCGATGAGGATGAACAGATCCTGAGCACCTTTGGCTGTTTATGACATTCTTGCAATTTCCACCTTGGATTTACCTCTTGGCCTCCCTGGGGTCGGTGAGGTCTTTTGTGTCTCGCTTGCATTTTCAGGTTCGAGGCTTTGCTGGAACAAAGCACCCGAAGATCCCAAAGCGCCCAAAGCTTCTTCAGGCCCTGTGGCAAGGCCTCGCCAAGGGAGGCGGAAGCCGAGCGGCTCGGCAGATGCCAGGGCTTAGGACTTAGTAGACTTAGTACTTACCAGTTTCGGCGGGGTCAGGCTTTAAAGGCGTGGGCATTCAGATTTTTAGCAGTCTCAGGCCATTCCAGCAACTCGTTTCTGTCGAGCTCCGGCCTGCATAAATGTGGAGTTCTTTGTTATCCTTTTGGCCGCAGCTTCAAATCGATTTTCAAGCTTCCTCAAGCCAATCACGTGCTTTTGGCTGCTTGGACTTGATTTCAAACCGCCGGCGGTTGCAGAGGCAAAAAAAGGCGACTTCAAATCGATTTTCAGCTGTCGGTTGGTTCAGCAGCTTGAAATCAATATGAGGCCCTGCCACTCAACAGCAGGATAAGTCGATTTCCAGCCGGCGTTCTGATTTCGCAGCGTAAAAATCGATTTTCCATGCTGCCATGCCGAGCCTCTTCGGAAAGACCTCACATCGATTTGGGAGCTCGTCAGCTTAGGGTTGTCGATCATAACTTCGCGATTTGCAGGTGCTTACAGGGTATGACCCTGTAAAGCGCTCTCCTAGGCGCTTTTAGCTCTAAACCCTTGTGGGAACGAGGACCACCCTTGACCTTAAGTCTTCAAGTATCAGGGCCTCGGATTTGAGATTGCCCTGAGCTCTTGGAGCCCCTTGCCTGAAAACTAGAACCATGACATCTTTTCAAGAACCATAACATCTTTTCAATGTTCGCGACGGGATTTTGAAGAACGCACCTGCAACAGGCACCGGTTAGAGTGCTTAGGAGTCCGAAAGAGGGCTTCATTGAGAGACACGCTTGGTTCAGGCGGTGGATTCGTAATTCATGTCACTTAGGTTCGATAAGGCACTAAGTCTGTATCGGCCCAAAAAGTGGAACTTAAGCTGCCAAGTGTGTATCGGCGCAACAAAGGAAACTCATGACATCAAGCCTGTATCTGCGTTCGGGGCGAAATCTTAAAGTTCCCATGGGCCCAGTAACCTTCACCCGAATAGAGCTGATGCTGTGGCTGCCGGAGGTGCTGCCCGATGCTTTTGAGCACTGATGCTCTGGTACATGCTGATTGCAGCCTTCCCTCGGGGTGAATGCTTCATCTGCATAGGTGCCGTGCACTACCGCCGAAATCGACATCAACAGGAAGCAGGAAGTCAAAACTCAAAACCTGCAAGCCTTGGACAGGAAGACCTTGAACCTTGGACAAACAACGCGGCAGGTTAGCCTGTCTGTTGAAACCTGCTTATGGATTTTCATCCACGTGTACACTGAAAAGCGGGGTCGGAGGTTGCCGACGATGGTCAGCATCGGCATGACACCAAGAACCGGCTCAAAGTCGATTTCAATCAAATGCCGAAGGACAGAGGGTGGCTTTAAACCGATTTGAGAAGCCCAATGAACTGGAAATGGGGCGGTTTGAAATCACTTCTAAGCCAGTTGCCAAAGCTCGGCTTCCACAAAGCTGCCTGGAATTCATAAATCTAGTTTCGGGGCTCCGCGCTACATTGACTCGAGGCATATAGGGTTGGAGTGTAGACAGGCGTTTGCGAGGTTTTGCAAAATGAGGTTTGTCTGGAGTTCATGGCTATCGATACTGGTGCTGCGTGTGTCGCGTGAGAGGTTTTACGTCCTTGTCATATATGATGCCCTTATCGTGAGGGTACTCACTGTACCCGCAGGAGAGTTAGCTGGGTCCGAGGGGGTTAGCTGAGGAATCTACTCGCGCCAGCTGCTCTTGTTGCTGCGCCGGGTCGAGCGCCCGGCATCGCCAGGCCTGCTTGCTCGGAGGCCCAGGGTTTTTTCCTTGTGCAAAGTGTCGCAGCGCACTCTTTTGGGCGAGCCCGTGCGCTTACCATCGCCTCCAGGTTGGAGGAACTCCCTCAACCAATGCCGGCCTCAAGGCAATGTCGGGAAAGCAGAGCAGCTGCATGCATCAAGATTGGAACACACGCCTACGCCTCGTAGAACGTACGGTAGGCCCAAGCCCAATTCGTCCCAAGCCCCACACAGCACTCGAATTGCCTTTCCTCTTGTGTGCAAGGCACCAAAAGGCTAAGAATTCCGTGGCTGGGCACCATGGGCGTGGACTCGGAGGACGGGAGCGGCAGTGTCAAGAGCCATGCCGAGGGTCCAGTGTCTCTATAGCGTGTTTGCTGGTCTTGGTTTGGCTGGCCTTTCTCACAGCCAGGCTTTGCAGGCCAGGGGACGATGCCCGTGCACGTCTTCGACCCCATTGTAGCCGCGGCCACCTGTGAGGCCGGGGCAGCGATTTCCAGCCCACACCACTTCAAACGGCGGTGCAAGACGGAACGACATGCGCCGCAAGACTTCGAGACATGAAGGCGTTGAGACGTTGAGATGCTGGCAGGTAGTGCTCTCCTGGCTGACTTCCCGGGATGGTGCTGAGTCTGAGGGGCGACTTGGGACTTGGGATGCCGTGGGGGCAGGGTTGGAGGTTTGGGGCGTTTGGGGCGTTTGGGGCGTTTGGGGTGTTTGGGGTGTTTGGGGTGTTTGGGATGTTTGGGGTGTTTGGGGTGTTTGGGGTGTTTGGGGTGTTTGGGGTGTTTGGGGTGTTTGGGGTTGAAGAGTGTCAAAAGGATTGGCTGAGGGTTTCCGGGCATTGCAAGCTATTTCCTACGACAATTTCACAGGGCTTCTCTTGACAAACCATATTCCCTCAGGGCTTGGCCCTCTGGCATTGCAGCCGCACGATTTAGTTCTAAGTAATCCTAACGGTCCTCACGTGCACGTTGTTGGAAGGTGCTTTCAAGGCTTTTGACCGTAGCAGGCACCACGGTCTTGTCAAAGTGCCTCTGATGATCTGTTGATCGTTTTACTGCTGCCTTGGCAAACTGGCGCCGGGGCCGTATGGAGGCGCTTGGCACCCAAATCGCCTGGAGATTTCTAACGGGAGATTCTCGCTTTTGTGGGGCTGGGTCTGCGCCATGCACGGATGAAGCATCCGCGCCTTGAGTTTCCGCAGCGGAGCCCTTGCGTGCTTAAAGCAGAGCCGTTCAGCCTGGATTCATCCTTCTTGTTGGATGAAGGTTGCACCGGCCGTGCTGAAGAAAAAGGGCTTTTCAGCGGTGAACAATTCCGTTTGCACCCGACGCAGGGCTTGGAGCTTGAAAGGCTTGGAGGAATCACTGCTTTGGCTATCAAAAACGAGTATGGAATCAGTATGGAATCGGGCGTAAACAGAGATTCTAGTCTGAAAACGGACGTGTTAAACCGCCCCAGCCCCGGGCAAGGCGCCTTACATAACCAAGCCAAACACCGCACCACCTGTAAACGCCTGGATTGCTGAAAAGGCCGAAGAGATCGGTGGTCAGCTTGCCCCCCTCGGCTCAACAAGCCTTGGCAGCTTGGTCTTTAGGATGGAGGCGTGATGGGGAGTTTAAGAGTGCTTCGGAATTTGGGTGCATTTGGGTGCATCACAAAGGCTCCCATTCCTTTTCCCGGTTTTGGTATTGTCTGGCAGAAATTGGGCAGTTTGGCAGTTTGGCAGTTTCGGAGTGCCCCTGAAGACCGTACTTAGGGTTAGGCCGATTAGGCCTTTTCAAGGTGGTCCATCTTATTCCATCATCCCCCCTGCCCCCTCCCCTCCCACCCTTCCCCCCCGCCAAGGTGCAGCTCCAACATCGCTCCCTGCTCTCCGGCAAAGCCGAGCCCCTGGGACCCCTGGCCGCGACACCCAGACTCCGGGCCTGTGCCGCAGAGCCCCTTGGAGAGGGCACAGGGCACTAGCTCTACTGATTTTGGGTATTTTAGTTGATGTTTTGCTCTTCTTTTATGCAAAACTAGGGGCTCCACACAGGAGGGAGAGCTGCTTCAGCAACATGCACTGCAGATTGGCCCTTGAGTGTGACACCAGGTTCTGGCCAACCCGGAAGGAACTGCCAGCCCACGTGGAAGAGGAAAGGGCGAGGGCGGCATGCGCGCGAGCAAGCGCGGGTGTGTGTGTGTGTGTGTGTATCTGTGTGTGTGTGTGTGTGTGTGTGTTTTGTTTTGTTTTCCCTTCTTGCATGGGCAAACATTGTGCAGCACCTTGAACTGAAGAGGCAGACGCCAGCCTCTCTAGCCAGCGCTGCAAGACAGACTGCAGTGGCATATGCCTTGTCATAAGCGCAACCGCACAGTTCGTCCTTGAGCACTTTGCTTGGCATGTTAACTTGCATTCCTGTCAGGACAGCGCAGAAACTGCCTGCCAAGAAAGTGAAAGTGAGATCGACGAGGAGGAGGTGTCGGACGTAGAGGAGGACGAGAAGGAGGACGTCTGACAAGCCTTTTCACTCAACACATCCAGGAAGATGAAGGGTTTTTGTCGTGTGGGACCCCAAGATCTGAACTCGGAACTCCGCCTCTTCAGGAATTTAGGTTTCGGGGATGGGTTGAGGGTTTTTGGGGGCCTAGGCTCCCCTTCCCCCCAACTCTGCTCAGCTTCGACTTCCAGCTCAAGACTCAGCAAGGGCTTGAACACGAAGCCTCATGGAAATGCATGGCCAAGTTTACCAACATGCGTGGACCACGTTATCATGATCCCGGCCCCAGTTCGGTCCCAACCCCCCCTGCTCCTTGACTCCATTCTGCACGAAAGCCCTAAACCTCAGCCCTCCGATGCAGAACAACCCTAGCCCCAAACCGAACGATCGCCAAACCTTAAGCAGGTGTTCCTGAGCCTAAGCCTTTTAAGTTACAAAACCTGGACACTAGTCTCAACCCTGAATCTCGACCCAACACTGTGATCCTACAGCTCGACCCTGAACTTAGTCCAAAGGGCAGAGGACGCCATGCGATTACAAACCTAAACCCGGAACCGATGCAAATCTCGAAAGCCTTGGAACCAGAGGCCCTGGAAGCCCTTGAAAGAGTCAACCCTAAACTTGGCCCATCGATTGAACTCTCGTGCTTAAAGGAGCCGAAGCAGCGGAGCGGAGCCTCGCTGGGGCGCTGCCTCGTGGTGGCCCTGGCCGCGGCGCTGCACCGGGGCCGCAGAGAAGTCGAACCTTTTTGTTTCTGTTTGGGTGGGGGGGGGGGAAGGGGGGGGGGAGGGGGAGGGGAAAGAAAGGGTGGGGAAGGGGAATTTCTGTCCCGTGTTTCAAAAACTGTTGTAGGGGCATTGTGTCCTGCATGCTCTGTTCGAGGCTCGGCCATGTCTTCTACGTGGCCCACACGGCCAAGCCACGGGCAGAGCCTGCTGCTCGGAGCCCTGGCAGCAAAGTGTCTCTGTTGAAGGCGATGTCGAAGTGTTGAGCGCGGATTTTACATGTTCTCACGATATCTCTGCATGCGCTGGGTTTGGGTTGCACTTGTCTCTCAGCCAATCGCCCTCTCAACACTTCAGCCTGCTATCGAGGCCTCCGACAAGTTTCTTCCAAAAGGCACAGTTGAGGACTCCTGAAATTTGACTTCTTGCATTTTGGTTGGCATCTTGGCAGTCCTTCTGAATCTGTTTCAGTAGTGGGAGATACCTGAAACGAAAATGACGGTCAGCTCTCATATTGCAGGGTTCAGCGTGATGGAAAGACTGTCAGTGCAGAGTTCTGCGATGACCAACACGGAGCAAACATGCTCTCGCTCTTGAGGGCCTTTTGTGTAGCAGTGGCCCCACTTGCACTAAAGAAGTTTGTTTCAGCTTCGGATTGATGTACAGATTCCAGCGTGTCCCAGCGTGCCAAGACGTGCTGGTGATTGGCATTTCTGGTTCTGGGGCCTCCTTGGTCACAGGAATCGATCCGATCCCTAATTCCACATAGCGCCTCAAAGGACCTTCCTTACAGTCAGACAAATTGTTTCAGCGGTTTCAATGCCTGTGCATGCTCGCCTCGGGGACAGGGGTTAGTGTCCCCTGTCCCAGCGGGAAGCCGTGACGCGGGCTGGGATCCACCAGTCTATGCAGATTGTGTAGCTCAGGTGCAATTCACCCACCTTGACCCACATGATACCAACAATCAGCCTTCGCTTCTGGCTCTGGGTTGCTGACCCCTGAACCCAAAGTTCCCGGGGTGAGGAAAGTCTCTCTTCATAGTCCATAGTGCGACACGCGCTTTGCGTGAATCTACGTCCATGAGGACTCTTTGATGTAAGGGACCTATGACCCTACATTCCGCAGACCTGCCTCAGGCGGATCCTCCAAGCCCGCGATTTGTACAGTCCTGCCAGGCCTTCCAGCGTGTACGGCTCACACTGCAAGGCTCAAGATTCTTAAGCTTTGAGGGTTCCGATCTCCACCTAGAGTAGGTAGGACGTTCTCGAGCCACGCTGGAGCTTGGACATCTGCGATTTTCGGCTTTGCCTTGACCTTTCCTCCAGGGCAAAATTTTGTAATTCTCGAGGAAACACCAATAGTCTCTGCACGGAGCTAGCAAAGATTGTCTCTTTGATGGCAGTTTTCACCGTGCGGCAAACTCAAGCAGCACCTCGTAGCGGGCTGGGTGTAGGACGTGCTTCCAGTGCTTGCAAGTGCAAGCCTGGTGCACTGTGTTTGTTGGAGTTGCAGGCCACTGCAAAAAGGCACGATTCCTGCAGTTTAGGAAACTGACCCCTGGCCTTCTAAAACCAGGGCCCATCCGGAAGCCTTACGAGAACCCTCTTGCGCCCGTCTTGCATCGTTTTGAGTTGGGGGAAGAACGGAAGAACCTGATTCCAGGCGGCAGGCGGCGAGCCGCGGCCTCAACCTTACCCCTTCAAGCTGGAAGCCGGTTAAGGGCCATCAGCATGGCTTAAGATGAAGGTTGCCAGAGGTTGCCCGCACCGCAGGTTTTTATCCTTTAGCACAGGCCTCTTTGCGCTTTGGGGGCATTGCCAGTCCAACTCATTTTTGCTGGAGCCTTCATTTTTTTTGCAGCTCTTGAGGGCCGTTTCAGGGTTTTGGGCAAGCATCTTTAGGGTCAAGATTTGAGTTCCCTCCCTTGGGCCTGGTACAGGGCTTAGGACTTTGCCAAATCATGGGCCCTGCTGACACCTCATGAGACTCGCCTTTTTGGGGCCGTGCGGCTGTGTCAGGCGCTCGCCGCCCTCACCAAAACCCAAGGCAGAAGGCAAGGCGGAAGCAAAGCCAGCCACCCAGAGTTGGCAGGGACAGTACCTTTGCCGAGAATCATCTCAGTCGGCAGCAGATTTGAACATGTTGCCCCTTTTTTGTTTTTTGCACCAGGCGGCCGCCGCCCTCACCCAAGCCAAAGGCGGAAGCAAAGCCAGCCCCACAGCGACTCCATTTCGAAACAATCGAAGACATTGACAGGGATCAGGGTCAAGGTCTGGAGTGTAGTGGGAGACGGTGGCCCAATTGAAGGGTACATGTTGTGAAGTCCGACGCCCGAAGCTTTTAATTCTTAAACAATGCCTGGCCTGAGGGCGAAGCCTGGCAGTGTGGGGAGAAGGCCGCCAGAAGGGACATGCTCCCACATGCTTTGACACTGTAGGGCCTGTAGGGTCAATATGGGTAACGATCTCGACGGGTCCATCGCCCACTGCTTGATTGCTTGACCTCACAAGGACATCCGGGAAGCACCCTACTATACCCTATCGGACCTATCGATACGCTGTTCGACTCAGAATGCCCTGCATGCTGCGTTCCAATATTCAAAAACAAGCCAAGCAAAAATGAGAGTGCGATGTATCGGGGCTGCCACCAACTTCTTTGCAACAAGACGTTGACGTTTTCAAGTGTGCCTGTGCCTATGCTGTAGCTGTCAAAACCCAAACATCGTGTATGCCTCCTCCGGAAAAGGGTAGGACACATCCCTATGCCTCACAGCATCCCCATCGCCTCAGTGTCCAGAGTTTCAAGCCTCTTCAGCGGACAGCTCGCAGAGCTTCTCTTGCAGCTCATATTGCCACGTGGATTTCGGGCCAGGCCTGGGGCAAAGAGCCTGGGAAAGGCGGAAGCTGCAGCCGCGAGCTGAGGGATGCTGAGGGATGCTGAGGGATGCTGAGAGATGCTGAAAGGATGGTTTCGCTGGGCTTAGCTCAGACTGCTTAGACGTGCTTAGGTGGGCTTGGAAGGGCTTCGATGGGCTTCCCTATGAGCTCAGGATAGTGTTCGGCGCAGTCATCTAGGAATCTAGGACACTGTCTCGCAAAGATGGAGAAGCTCTTGGGAGTTCTTTGGGCCCAGATCATCCCAGATCCAAGACTGCCCCAGTACTGCCCCCAATGAAGATGTCGCGGATCAGGAAGACGAGCAGCCGTCGCGGGCCTGAAGCCCAGTTTTTGGCACCTGATGGAAGGGAAGTAGTTTGCTTTGAGGCTGTTGAGGTTTTGGGAGGGCTTTGCTCGGGTTTGTCACAGAACGGTGTTCGCAAGGCTCTTCAATGCCGCTTGGACCGGAAATTTGCAGCAAATGTGTGCCAAGATCAGAGTGAGATCAAGGCTGGATTGCAAAACGTTTCCAGACCCCGATCAGCTTCGGTACCGGATTCACAAGCGGCGGTCTTTGTTTCCGGGTCCGTCAATCGAGGTAAAGCCTTCTGATCTCGCCGGTCTTCAGCTTTTCTGCCTGTGCAAAAAACATTTGAAGTAGTTCGGGGCTCACAGTGTTCCAGACTTTGGTAGGTAGCAAGGGAGGGGTCCGAGGGCCTGGACAAGCTTCGCAAGGCCAAGTTAGAGGGGGATTGGCTGGCGATCGCTTGCCGAGCAAAGCGAGCTGCTTCAGGCACCGAGCTCAGATCGGAGTAGAACAGGGCCTGGGGCTTAGCCTCGCGACTATGTTGGGCTTTTTGGTCTTCAGGCGTAAGGTTCAAACGTTAGGATCTAGGTATGGGTTCGTTGCTGTCCTGACAGGTCGCCGCCCTCTCCGCCCAAGGCGAAGGCCAAGGCGGGACACGCACTGGGGATGTTGCTGGCGTGTATGTTCTGTATGTTCATGCTTCCTGTGCAGAGTGAACTTCTAAGGCAGGAACACCCGATTCGAAGAGGCCAGATGCCAGCTGGTGTTTCTTGGGTGAGCCGTTCGCATCCGTTCGCGACACGGGGCGGTTTGGATTCTAGATGGCACTCGTCTTGCTGGTTCGGCCTTAGAGTGTTATAGTTTTAGTGTAAGTAGCGGTTACAGAGTGTGTAGGGCTTTGGTTTTCCAGGCAAGATGGACATTAAAAGCCTGTCAACTCCGCTTGACCCCCCAACCCCCAAGACTCGGACCAAGCAGCGCTGCCTGGCAGGGCCCAGCTCGCGCCACCCAAGGCGAAGGCCGAGCCACAACCCTGGAGCTCCTCAAAGGGTCCCAAGAGTTCCCGGTTTTTGCGTCATTGGGTTTAGGAATGTTTAGGGACGGTTTGCTGTTGCATGCTGTCTGAGTCGGTACGACGCGCACGCTAGTTCCAAGCACAACTTCAGCCCTCGGGGATTTCCGCAGTCACGCCCACCCAGAAGCATCTCCTTGCTGTGCCAACACAGTGAACTAGCGAGTTAGCTGAAGTCGCATCTCCTCGTCTGGCATGAGCGTGCCCAGCGTGTAGCCACCTCGTCCGTGCACACTTTGGGGAAATCCATTCCAAACGAAATCTGCGAATAAGCATGAGGCCTACCTAAGACTCATTTGAAGTTGAATCTCTGCGCGGCGTGCACACTGCGGGGAATGCTCGAACCCTGCGAAGAAGCATGGACCTGGCTTGAATAAATCACAAAGTTCGTTTGTATGCTAGTGTCAGCACAAGGTTCGACGTGTGCAAGCAAGTCATGTTCTAGGATTTCAAAGCTTGACGTGTTTATGTACATAAACATATGCATATATAGAGTGAAAAAACAAACAAACACAAACACACAATCACACAAACACACAAACACACAAACACACAAACACAAACACACAAACACAAACACAAACACAAACACAAACACAAACACAAACAAACACACACACACACACACACACACACACACACACACACACACACACACACACACACACACACACACACACACACACACACACACACACAACACACACACACACACACACACACACACACACCACACACACACACACACACACACCACACACACACACACACACACACCACACACACACACCACACACACACACACACACACACACACACACACACACACACCACACACACACACACACACACACACACACAACACCACACACACACCCACACACACACACACACACACACACACACACACACACCACACACACACACACACACACACACACACACACACACACACACACAACACACACACACACACACACACACACACACACACACACACACACACACACACACACACACACACACACACACACACACAACACACACACACACACACACAACAACACACACACACACCACACACACACACACACACACACACACACACACACACCACACACACACACACACACACACACACACACACACACACACACACACACACACACACACACACACACACACACACACACACACACACACACACACAACACACACACACACACACACACACACACACGGAGATAAGACTCTCATTGGCTTCCCTGTCCGAAGATCTCATGCATGTTGATGAGAATGAAGTAGTAGGAGTACTAATGCATTCGACACACACACACACACACACACACACACACACACACACTGAGGGCCCACACCCACAGCACTTCAAACGCTGCACTGAGTGTGTATGTTTACTACATGACCAAACCGAAAAAAGGTTGAAGGGAGACAAGGCTGTGCGGTAGTTGAGCTGTTCTTTACGTAGCTGTGCAAACCAAGGCGCCGATGTCCCAAGGTGCAAGCCATCTGGAGCGTTCGGACTTGAAATTGTTTGAGGACCGAGGATTCCGGGTTTTGAGGGTACATGATGTCACAAGCAGTATAGTGGATACCAGCTGCAACAACTTGCCCAGGTACTCCACGCGCAGGTACGTTTTCCTGCCCGATGACATAGAGCTTCGTTGGCGCGAGCTATGTCAAAGGACCTCGCGCCCCCTGCATAAAATACATTCTCCATCAGTCTTCTGTACGAAATATCCGGCCAAGCCTCAAAGACTTTCCAAAAACCCTTAGCTTAGAATCAGGGTGCACACACACACGCCCCTCCGTCAGAGGGGATAGCCAAGCATGCGGTTTATTTCCGGTTCGTCACAGATCCTATCAACTAAAGGAACAGAAAAGGCTAAAGGAGCCGAGCATCACCAATCCATCCAAAAATTCCATTGGCGCTGAGGCCTCTATTGCGGTCCGGAGGACCTCCATTAGGCCCCACCTCGGGCCACACGGGTGCTAAGTCCCACCATTTTTGCTCTTGGGACTAGCCCTCTGTTGCCCATCCACCTAAAAGTTACTCATCGCTCGAAAGCGGTCTAGTGGGCTCCATGCGTGGCACTAGGCCTCTCGACCCAACCTGCTAGGTTATTGGGCCTCCATGGTACCATGATGAGTCGCGCAACGACCCGTACAGCTCCCTCGCGGGATAACTGCGATTGGCAACAAGGCCACACACGGAGATAAGAGAGTAAACTCTCATTGGCTTCCCTGTCCGAAGATCTCATGCATGTTGATGAGAATGAAGTAGTAGGAGTACTAATGCATTCGACACACACACAGACACACACACACACACACACACACACACACACACACACACACTGAGGGCCCACACCCACAGCACTTCAAACGCTGCACTGAGTGTGTATGTTTACTACATGACCAAACCGAAAAAAGGTTGAAGGGAGACAAGGCTGTGCGGTAGTTGAGCTGTTCTTTACGTAGCTGTGCAAACCAAGGCGCCGATGTCCCAAGGTGCAAGCCATCTGGAGCGTTCGGACTTGAAATTGTTTGAGGACCGAGGATTCCGGGTTTTGAGGGTACATGATGTCACAAGCAGTATAGTGGATACCAGCTGCAACAACTTGCCCAGGTACTCCACGCGCAGGTACGTTTTCCTGCCCGATGACATAGAGCTTCGTTGGCGCGAGCTATGTCAAAGGACCTCGCGCCCCCTGCATAAAATACATTCTCCATCAGTCTTCTGTACGAAATATCCGGCCAAGCCTCAAAGACTTTCCAAAAACCCTTAGCTTAGAATCAGGGTGCACACACACACACACACTTTTTGTTTTAGTGCTCCACATATTCATGTAGTTGGAGATCTGCTGGAGAAGGGCATGCTCAAGCAAGAGGTAGTGGATGAGCTCGTGAGTGATGAGGTAGAAGGGTCGCGAATGAAGGTTTATATGACGTATCATATAGGGTTTAGGGTCTTCTGCAAACTATGCTCATCACGCTCCGATGCTCCATAATTCACACTCTGATGCTCCGCAGTTGATGCTCACCCAATTCTGCTCATCACGCTCAGATGCTCTGCAAGTCATGCTCTGATGCTCCACCACTCATGCTCAACCAAGCTTGCTCACCACGCTCAGAAGCTCTACAATTCATGCTCTGATGCTCCACAAGTCATGCTCGCACAACTCTGCTCAGCACGTTCAGATGCTCCACGACTCATGGTCTGATGCTACACACTTCATGCTCCCGCAACTCTGCTCATCGCGCTCCGATGCTGCGCAGTGCATGCTCATATGCTCTAGCGCTCATGTTCCGAACCTTCTCCATGCTTTCGTCCATCATCATGCTCGACATGTTCCATCACCATGCTAAAATGACATGCTCACGCAATTCTGCTCAGCTGCTATTCACAACACACAAGCTGAAAGCATCACGATCCACTCAAGCTTGATGGGCTCGAGGTCTTCTGGGGTTTGGGGTCTGTCATGCTCACGGCTCGAAGAATTCACCCACATGCCAAGCAAAATACGAAATCCACGTTGTAAACTGCGTTGTAGTTGAGGTAGTTGACAAACAACAGCGAGGATGGTACCAATGCACAGCTTGCGTTACAGGACTTCTATAGCCATCACTGCAGGTACGTGGAGATGGCGTCCCATCTCCATATCACTGTGCACTGAGAGCGTCTTCGTTGGCAGGAGACTCTCAGGCACACTCCTGCCCCCTGCTGAACATCATGTGCAAAAAACTTGTTAGATCGCAAATTCGTGCTTCTTTTCGCTCTCGTATGCAGTGCTTGTTGACGTTCCCGCATGTACAGCGGTGTGCCACACACACCCCTTTCGGGGCGACAAATGGATTGGGAGCATGGAATTCACACGTAGAGGTAGTCCAAGTCCACGAACTTTTCAGCTCTTTGTTTGGCTTGTTTGTGCGGTGCCGTGAGCAGGTGGATTTCCCATTGTCGCACTGTTCTGGAAGCAATCCTGCAAATTGGACAGGCGAGATATCTGTCCTCCTTTGGGTGGCATTTCATCTTCTTGACCTTCCCGTACTTGTGATGCTTCCGATGTCGATTGGGATTTGGACACGATCTGCTTCTGGGTGTATGGTAATCATCTCGTTTCTGGTACTTCAGGAGCATGTCTTGCACCCGCTTGGTGCTCTCCTCGTGACTCATCACATACTCGAAGTCCGCCCTGGTCTGGATGTAGCGGGAGTGGTACATGATCTCGTGGCTGGTCATGGGATCGTGTTGCCGATGTTAAGAAGGCACGGGTAGCAAGGTGATGGGAACAGCTACTCTTTATGCAAAGCAGCTGCACATGACGATCACAAGGCAGCAGATCAAAGAGAATGTTACATCGACTTACGGCTCCAGTCTCTTTCGCTCAACAAATGGTTCGGACACACTAGGATGACATTGCACAGACACTTGACGCTCAGCATTGACGCTTGTTCTGTTGTTCATCTGGTCGTGGAATAACCCTGTGTGAAACTGCGCCGAACACTGATTGTCACACGTTTTGGCGCAATTGCACACTCTCTCAAAACTGAAAGATGCTCTGCATGCGTTAAGGCCTGCGTCGGTGGTGCATCTAAGCCGCATGTTCCTACTCAGCGCCCATAAGGTCTGATGTCAGTGGGGGATGGGGTTGAGGATATTACGGTCTGCACGTCGAGCATGGTTTGAACAACATCTCAACCTCTGCCTTCTGGTAGGACTTGACGTCTTGCTCGGCTGAATTGATTATCTTACCGCATCCTTTGCGATGATAGATGGTGCTCTTCTTGGTGACAAACACTACGTTGGGGTCCACTTCGTTGTTGAGGTTTGGGTGAGTGCGAGTGGACATCTTGGGTTTCGGGTCGAGGTCGATGGGTTTGTCACCATGGCAAAGAGGAGCGAAACCCTTGTAGTCGAGGAAGCGG